TCATTCCAGAGCAAAATAAAAATGATTTTGTCAATGTAATGTTCAAGCTTATGATGATTTTTTATATTTGTTTGTTTGTTATATAGGGATATGATGTGTCGGTCTTGATTCAGTCTAACACCAAAGCCGAGAAGGATCATCACAAATTGCAAAAATAAAACACTGATATTTTTCAATCCAAAAATATCTCGAGGTGTTATATGTTTCTTCTTCTCAAAAAGCTGTTTTTTTTGGTATTAAACTTGATAAGTTTTCATAACGAACACATCACATGCTTCTTCTCTTCTATTATTTTTTTTTTTTTTGATGTAAGTTACATAATTACTATTTGTTGCTCATATCCCATTTTAAGTTTTGGGCTTTTATGTAAACATGAAACTACATGAATTAAATAAATGTAATATTTGGGTTGTTTGATCAAATTTTGACTTATATCTTTTTGGTTGTATGAATTAATATTTATACTTTATATGAAGTTTAAATATTATAAATATTTCAATAAACTTTATAGACTTTATTAAAATTTAAATATTTTAATTATTTAAACTTCTTAAAAAGTGAAACTTTATAAAATGTTTGAAATACTTAAAATCTTAAAACTTTTATGAAGTTTTAAATACTATAAATATTTTAAATTTATAAGAATTTTAAATATTATAAATATTTTAAAATTTATAAGAATCTTAACCATCATAAATATTATAACTTTATAAAACTTTTAAAGTATTTATAATATTTAAATTCTATACAAAAAATTTAATAGTAATAATATTTGGATTATATAAAAATTAAAAATATAAATATTATGGCAACTATTTAAAAGCAAACTTTTAAATTCACTCGAATTATACGTCTTTTAAATAAAGTATTATTGAAAAAAATAACAAAATGATGTTTAATTTCACGGGACGGGGTTATATGGTGGTACAAGTTTGGGTCGATATTAATACGGGATGTTATACCACGGGTAAAATCCTAGAATTAACAATCAAAATACAATTATACAATCTTAAACACTAGACAAAACAAATAATATTAACCAAACAACTACCACTTAAAATTGAAAACTTTTAGTTACAAAAATATTGACACAAACAATCATACGATTATAAACAAAAGGTTTCTTAATCAAATATATATAACACAAATAATAAAGTTATAAGAAAACACAAGCAAAAATTTATTTATCCCGCGGTGTACCGCGGGTCATATCCTAGTTACTAGTATTTATGCTTTAATACTTTTTTTTTCTTTTTGGTTATGAACTTATGAGCATATATGCTAGTTTTTGTGCACATTTAAGTAATTTGCAAAAAGCCCCCCTCCGTTCACCGGCACAGAATCTAGTCCGCGTTTCTTTCTTTTTAATATAAAAAAAAGAGAAACACAAAAAACAAAAAAAAAAAAGCGAGAGAAAGAAATCAAAGGTTTCTTAGGGTTTCAATCGAAGCGGGAGAGAAAAAAACCCAGAGAAATCCTCGAAGAGAAGCCATGGATGAAGCTTTGACGAACGCTTCTGCAATCGGTGACCAACGCCAGAAAATCGAACAGTACAAACTCATCCTCTCCTCTGTTCTTTCTTCCAACGATCTTCACCAAGCGCAGAGATTCATCGATCACAGTAATTTCTCTCTTTCTTTTGTATTCAACTTCATAAGAGATTCCACAACTGCTTTTTGATCTTTTCGAATTCCGTGTATATCAGAATTTCTGGTTCGATTTTGATTTTTGTTGATAACTTTGAGAAATTCTCCAGTTCTTTCCGATGATGTCCCGTTGGTGGTTTCGAGGCAGCTTTTGCAATCGTTCGCACAAGAGCTTGGGAGATTAGAACCGGAGACGCAGAAGGAGGTTGCTCAGTTTACTTTAACCCAGATTCAGCCTAGAGGTGTTTCCTTTGAGGAACAGGTTTGTTTTCTCTTTGCTTACATCCTAAACCCTATCACTTTGCTGTTTAGTAGTTCAATTTTCTAAACCCTATTTAGTCTATCTACTTGGTTTTAAGTCGAGAAGTGTGTAGAGAGCTTGCTATTGTATCTCGTTGATGTTTGAAATCTACTCTGAAAGCTACTTTGAGATGTTTATGTACTAAGGATGCTGTTTTTTGGGATAACTGAGACAATGTACTTTACAATCACTGTGTTGTAAGAGATGAAACTGTTTTTGGTGTATTTGCAGGCACTTATTATCAGAGAAAAACTTGCCGGTTTGTATGAATCGGAGCAGGAATGGTCTAAAGCGGCGGAGATGTTGAGTGGCATTGATTTGGATTCTCCAATGAGGTGTGTTGCAGAGAACATAATTTTCTTTTAGTTTTCTCTTTATGTTCTTTTGTGTTGCTTATTTTGGATTTGTGGTATTCTTTATTAGGGCCGTTGACGACAATTTCAAGCTTTCAAAGTGTATCCAAATTGCTCGTTTGTATCTCGAGGTTTGTCTTTCACTTCCATGTACATATGCTCAACAGATTGTGTCCTTTTCATTAATTTGTAAGCATGTAAATCGGTTATCTCTATTTATGAGATGGATTTCCGCATCGCAGTAATGGTTTATAGCTAATTGGTCTTATTTCCTTCTGTGGCTGCACTTCTATACAGTTACAGAAGTTAGATCTTAAAAGCTCAATAACTTCAAATATTTGGACATTTTTCTAGAGAGATTTTATTTAAACTCAACAAGTCTCTTGTCAGATCTAAGTGTCATGAAACTAGGAATCTTGACTGTGTTAAGAGCATTATTCTGTTTCACAATATCACTTGTTTTTTTATTGCTTTTGGAGAGTAAATTGAGACTACCAGAGTTGTTTAAGTACAATTAGTTAATTTTTTTATTGTTCTCTAATACTTTTGTTTTGAAAATCTGCAGGATGATGATGCTGTAAAAGCAGAGGCTTTCATAAATAAAGCTTCTTTCTTAGTGAGCAGTAGTCAGAATGAAGTTTTGAATTTGCAGTACAAGGTTGGACCGCCTTAAACTAAGAATAAATGTGCTGGGTGATTAAGGAGCACTCGTTTTGAAGTTTTAATATATTTCTGTTTCAGGTCTGCTATGCTAGAATTTTGGATATGAAACGAAAGTTTTTAGAAGCTGCACTTCGGTATTACGGCATATCTCAGATTGAGAAACGCCAAATAGGGGATGAGTAAGTGAACTGACTTATCTTTCTGCTACATTTTCTTTTGTTTAAAATTTCTCTGTTGGTTGCCTGTTCGAATGGAATAACGGGTAATTAATCTTCTATCCATCTTTGGAGACTCTTTATTAAAAGCTAGTTTCCTACTTTTTAACCCCTCACTGTGCGATTGAATAGTCTTCCTCTTTTCTCTCTCCAATACGTTTTGTAATATCTCGTTATTCTAAAATGGTTCTAATGTTTTTCTAATATTTTCAGAGAGATTGATGAGAATGCTTTAGAGCAAGCCCTATCCGCTGCCGTCACATGTACCATATTAGCTGGAGCCGGTCCTCAGCGATCTCGTGTCCTTGCAACTTTATACAAAGTAATTCCGTTTGGATTATTAAAAATGCTATTTCTTACTTGCTTATTTATTGCTTTTTATTTATTTCTCAATATGTTTTTATTAACAGGATGAGCGTTGCTCCAAGCTGAAGATTTATCCTATCCTGCAGAAGGTTCTATCTCTTATTACCTACAATTTCTTCCTCTAGTAGTATTGCTTGAATTCACATATTACTCCTGTTTAAGTCTGTGGGATGTTTATTAGATTTGATTCATAAACAAATCAAAACAGTTTCACCATAGCCTATAGAAGCTTGGATAGAACTGCATAGTGACTTTTTTTCTTTTTTCTTTTTATGTAACTTTCTAGGTGTATCTGGAAAGAATTTTAAGGAGACCAGAGATTGACGCTTTTTCAGAAGAACTAAGGCCACATCAGGTTTGGACTGTTATTAAGATTTAGATGCAGTGTTTGGATATCATCTGAGTTGGTAGGTAGGTTCATAACAAGTTTTTACCTTGTTGATTTTCAACAGAAAGCATCTTTGCCTGACAAATCCACTGTTCTAGACCGTGCTATGATTGAGCATAACCTTCTAAGTGCAAGCAAACTCTACACAAACATAAGGTATGGGATGCAGAATTAGTATCATCTTTGTGTTTCTTAGACTTGTTTGATTTTCTAAGCTAGTTTATATCTTAGGTTTGATGAATTGGGAACTCTGTTGGGGATTGATCCAAGAAAGGCGGAGAAGATAGCAGCTAATATGATTGGGCAAGACAGAATGAGGGGTTCCATAGATCAGGTAAGCAATAAAAAATACTTTGTTGGTTGAGCTATGTAAAACGAGCCCTGAAGAGAATTCTTGTTAGTGTTGATTTTCAAGAAGGTTCTTAGACGTTTTTTAATATGTTGTTACTTTTCAGGAGGAGGCTGTGATACATTTTGAGGATGACATTGAGGAACTACAACAATGGGATCAACAGGTTCTCTCTCTCTCACCCTCCCTTTAGAGAAGCTATATATATTTTTGGGTCTATTTTTTTTACTGAATGTGGAAGTTGTGCAGATATCTGGATTGTGCCAAGCTCTCAATGACATTCTGGATGGGATGGCCAAGAAAGGCTTGCCTGTTCCTGTCTGATTGATTCCAAGCTGTGAGACCGACTCATGATGATTCATTTGTATTAGCCAAGCTCAACGGATCGAGTCTCATGCCTAAGTTTTTGCCAAATTGCTGTGTTTTTGGGACAGTTATTTTCACCTCATTTACTTTCTTGCAAATTCATGTCTATGTCTTTAGGTTAATTGATACAGAAAGGGGAAAGATTAGGCATTGAATGAGGATTTTAAGAAAGTTGAAAAGAGGTTCAGGGTTACATTTTTCCCTCAGAACAAATTATTTTATGCATAGATGAAGCTTTGTGGTGCAAGAGAATGATCAAAATACTAGTTACATAACATTGGACCGATCATTCTAATTCTTGAACGATCTCAAAACTTTTGCTAATTTTAAGTAATAATCATAATGATAATAGACGAAGAACTGCTAGTTTATAATGAGGAATCTGTTGCAACAAAATTTCGGAAGATTTGCAAGAACCGACTAGTTAAATGTGTTGCAACACCAAACAATTGAAGTGAAACTTCATTAAGTAGTGTAAAGAGGAGACTACATTTCAAGATTCCATGTAGTTTCTGCGGTCAACTTCGGCGTTTTCACTTCATCCGCAAGATTCACAGACGCACATACCTGTTGAAACAAGATGATAAAGCCCATCAACAACCAAAACACATGCAATTTCTTAAGTCCATAGAGCTTCACGACATAGTTGTTGCTCAACAGAAAGCAAATCCAATGTCCAAATATGATTGCCAATACACACAACGATCTAAAACAACTAATTATGATGCAACAAAGAAATACATGAACTATTCTAACCCAAAGATCACGCCTTATTGGCAAGAAGCTATGTATCCCATGTAGGAAACAGTTTCATCTATCAAATCAATTGTACCAAGTTTCTTAGGCTTAAGTCACTGATATCACAATTTTACTTTAAAGAACTAAGATTATTGCCATCAAAATATAGTAACCGAGATGGACTTTCAACTTTAAAGATTCATTTTTACCTTGATTCCACTTGCTTTGTTGTTCCTTGACCATTCCATACCCAGCAACTTACTAGAAGTCTGATAAGTTGCCCTCACACTATCACCAGTATAAAATCTTCGAGAAACCGCAAAATCCCACGTATTTTTCGCCAAGTCATAGCACGGCTCAAACGTAGCTAACCCTCCATGAGCATAGGTATACTTAATCTTACAGTTGTTCGTCCCCACCATGTGGTTAGCAGAGAGTTTGTTTGCAGAATCAATCACAAGACTCCCATCGACAATTGTTCGGTTATCAGCTCTGCTATGAATGTAAGTCAAATTCAACGGCTTCTCCGCAATTCTTATTGTGTTCATGAACTGAAACCTAACATCCTGTAAACCAACAACACCAACAACATAGTTATACTTCAATTCTCCTGAACTAGCGGAGAATTCAAAAACCCTAAATCCTACTTCAATTAAAGCATTCGCTGCGAATTCAAAAACATTTTTGCCTCATTTTTTCAGAAATTAAACTTATTTGATATATTCTAGGTTTAATCGTAAGCAATCAATCTCACTTCCATGGAAATTGAAAATTAGGAATTTCTAAGATGTTTTGGCTTTGACTCAAATCAAAAGAGGAGAAGCAAAGAGTTTTTTGACCTTCTTAGGGACGTTGTACTCGATCATGAAGGAACCAGGCTTTTCGACGGCGAGAGAGAGACCGGTCAAAGTAGGACCAGCGACGAGAGTAGCATCAGTCATGGTGGCGCGTAGCTTAATATCGCCGGCGTTGAAAGCAAGTGAACCGATTCCGCTGGTTTTATCAGCATCGTACTTGCCTTTGAGAGAAGCCTTCATCGCCATTTTCGCAGAGTAGAGAGAGAGAGAGAGCAGAGGTTTGGTGAGAGCGGCGGGCGAATGAAGACGATAAAAGCACGGTGTTATTATTCTCCGTTGCGTGTTCTTCGTTCGCACGTGCGAGTTAGCACGTGTGTAGATTGGCACGTGTGCGAATTGCCTGTTTTGTTTGTTGTTTTAAAACCTTTCCTTTGGTTGAGAAGGTTTTAAACAGTTGATTTGATTCTATTTACGTGGTTGTGGTTTTGATCCCCACCGTGTTGATATTCAAATCACACAATAGAATTTATGTAAATGTTTTTTAAGAAAGATCGAAGAATCTCTTTATTAGATGGACTTAGTTTAGTAAATACATGTTTAAGGTTTAAACGACGAGCTAAGCAAACAACTTATCGGTTTCGTTCGAACATAGATGTGATAGCAACGAAGAGAATGTTTGGTCAAAAACGGGTCCTACTATGTGTTTAACGACTAAATCTATTTCTGAAAACGAGTTATAGGGAAAATTTTATACAGACAAAATGACGAGTACTCTCTGTGTATGTGTCAGCGTAAAATCTGGAATCTTTTCTCAACAGTTTATTTCTGTTTCTATAGAAGAAATAGCCGGTCACGAGGTTGGGTAATTTCACGAAGTTGGTAATTTCACGAATTTTGCCGTTTGCAAGTAGATGATGTTTATCGGGCTTAGCTGATATGATGGTACGAGCTCAGACTCTTTTTTTCTAGGCCTAATTGGATTTGGGCCAGACTTTTGGATGACAAGATGACGTGTATTCTCTGCATATGTGTTAGCGTAAAATTCGGATCCTTTATGTTTTCCCATTTTTATATGGGAAATAAGCGGTCACGAGGCCGTATAAGTTACCTCTTTTGTTCTTTGCAAGTGGTTGATGCTTAATAGACCAAGATATCATGATGGACCGAGCCCAAACTCTTTTTTTTGTGTGGGCGTAATTCGATTTGGGCCAGACTTTTGGATGGGGCGAAACCCATGTCCAAACAGTAAGCATTCCCCTCCTCCTTTTGTTTAGTTGGACAATCCAGCTTGTCAGCTTGGCGCGAATTTGAGTTTGCCCATTTGGAGGGAAATTTGAAAAGATGGATGTTTCACCATTTTGAGTTATTTGTTTCTATAATTTTTAACTGATATGCACTTTTAAATGATATGTTTTTAAATATACTGTTATATAACAGCTAATGTTTAGTTATAATAGTTGATTCTTTAACATATATCTATTAACAAAACTATATCTCATATTCTAAAACCATTTATTTGCTCTTGTACGGGGATCTCATATCAACATATAAAAACTTTGAAAACCTTCGAATAAGTTGTATGTCGAATACACTTTTACTAACATTTATTACTCATTTAGATTAAAAGTATTGTGAGAAAAATGATTTTTTTATATAAATAAAATAAAAAATTTAATATACAATGTGAGTTAGGCTTTTAATTTTTTCAAAATTAATTATATTTATACTTATAAATAGTTAGTCCTTTTAATTAATTTGGATTTAAACTATAGATGTCATTTTGAACCTCATACCCATTAATAATTTTATTTAGGATATCAAAATAAGATAAAATTAATCATATGTTTCTTATATTGAATTGGATATCGTTACTTGTATTTAGTTTTTTTTTATTTGTTATATTTGAAACGTTGATAGAAACCATAAACTTTAAGTTTTGTAGTATTTTTTTTTATTGTCAAAATTTTTAATTGCCATTAGATATTACATTAACTTTATAGTTTTTTTTTTTATAGTTACGTTTTAATTTTAATGACCTATATATAGGTTAGATAACTTCATGTTTCAAATAACAAATACAAATCATTGTTTCTTACATTAGTTTTTCATAAAATAAGAATAATTCTTGTATATTTCAAGCGTAAGTAGATATGTCTAAATTTAGCTCTCAAATTACCACGCTATTCATCGTTGTAGCTTTGGTGTGTGCGTTTGTTCCGGTTTTCTAAGTCGAAGAAGCTGAAGCAAAATCATTATGGAATACTTGTCTTGTTAAAATCACTCCTAAGTGTGCGTTGGATATAATCTCTGTTGTCTTTGAAAATGGAACCATCTCTGATCCTTGTTGCAACGATCTCGTCAAAGAAGGGAAAGTGTGTCACGATACGCTTATTAAATATATTGCAGATAAACCCATGTTAATTGCCCACGAAACAGAATACTTGAAGAAGAGTGATGACTTGTGGAATCATTGTGTCTCAATCTTCAAAAGTGCTTGAAATATGTATTGCTTGTCCTATTTTTACCGAATAAATTGATATTTCTCTGTTGTTAGATTTTTCTTACCACAAACATTTATATTTTCACTTTACTACAATATTCATTAAAGGAAATTCTCTCTGAAAAAGAAGAACTTAAATTTATTATTTTATATTTGAACTTTAAAACAAAGTTTTCTATTAAGAATCGAATAATAATTTAAAATTTTAAAAATTAAGAGTACCTCTAAATATTATTGAGTGAATTTTAAATTTTGTATTTGTTTTTTTAGAGTAATATGTTTTTGATAATTCAAAAATTTTAACCATTTTTTCCTCAAAGCATTTATAGAACGTAATTTATATAAACTAAAAAAAAATTAATATAATTCTTTATCTTTAGTCTTTAATTCAATAACATCAAATCAAGACCTCATAAAAATAACCAAAATGTTTTCAATTTTTAATTCGACTTTCAATGTGAAAACGAAAACTTGAAGGGGTGAGACAAATTTGAATATGATATAGATTAAATCCTTAGAGTTTATAAATATTGATAGCAAAAATATGCATTTCCTAATGGATCTGTTAGTTCACATGTATCTTAATTAGTGTTAAATCATATCTAATGATTAGTGATGAAAACTAGTAGTTATAAAAACTAGTTAGATATTTATAAGTTCCTTTACCATTCAACTTGAATCTTTCGTTAATATATAAATTTAAAACATTTGATTAGATTCTACTTAGTGGTATATATTCTTAACATATCATAACAATGAGATCCTAATTATCATGTACCTTTTGATATGTTTTTTTTTTTTTGGGGCAAAAATACCTTTTGATATGTTAGGATTCATTTGTTTTGAAAATATGGATGTTTCACCATTTTGGGTTATTTGTTTCTATAATTGTTTATACTAATATGCATTTTAAATATACTGTTATATAATAGCTATTGTTTAGTGAAAATTCTAACACCTAAAATTTGAAGAAAATAAAGGAATAAGATTTTGGGTTAAATTGTTCGTTTTGAAACTATCTGATTTCATGGGAATTTCTTAGCAATTCAAAATTTTGGGACAACATTTGTAAATCGAGAAAAGTTTGGGGATTAAAGTACAAAAAGGGGAAAATATGGGAGTTCTCAAATTTATTTTTCTCAAAATCGGAGGAGAGTATTTGAATAGTTAGATTTTCGTTTCTTAACCCTAATATGTCGTATATAAATGCGTTTTGAAGCCCAAAGATTTAGAAGACGATTTTCTTGTCGATTTGAGACTTTTGTTGAGTTTTCAAGACTCTTTTTGCCTCAACTCCGATTTGCATATTTTGATAATTGAGGATCGGAATTCGTGGTGATTTATATTTGAAATGTTGATAGAAACCATTAACTTTAAGTTTTTTAGTATTTTTTTTTGTCAAAATTTTTAATTGCCATTAAATATTACGTTAACTTTATACTTTTTTTACAGTTACGTTTTAATTTCAAAGACCTATATATAGGTTAGATAACTTCATGTTCCAAATAAAAAATACAAATCATTGTTTCTTACATTTGTTTTTCATAAAATAAGAAAAATTCTTGTATATTTCAAGCGTAAGTAGATATGTCTAAATTTAGCTCTCAGATTACCACGCTATTCATCGTTGTAGCTTTGGTGTGTGCGTTTGTTCCGGTTTTCTCAGTCGAAGAAGCTGAAGCAAAATCATTATGGAATACTTGTCTTGTTAAAATCACTCCTAAGTGTGCGTTGGATATAATCACTGTTGTCTTCGAAAATGGAACCATTTCTGATCCTTGTTGCAACGATCTCGTCAAAGAAGGGAAAGTGTGTCACGATACGCTTATTAAATATATTGCAGATAAACCCATGTTAATTGCCCACGAAACAGAATACTTGAAGAAGAGTGATGACTTGTGGAATCATTGTGTCTCAATCTCCAAAAGTGCTTGAAATATGTATTGCGTGTACTATTTTACCAAATAAATTGATATTTCGCTGTTGTTAGATTTTTCATACCACAAAAATTTATATTTTCACTTTACTACAATATTCATTAAGGAAATTCTCTCTGAAAAAGAAGAACTTAAATTTATAATTTTCTATTTGAACTTTAAAACAAAGTTTTCTATTAAGAATCGAATAATAATTTAGAAATTTAAATATTAAGGGTAGCTCTAAATATTATTGAGTGAATTCTAATTTTTATATTTGTTTTGTTAGAGTAATATGTTTTTGATAATTCAAAAAAGTTTACCTTTTTTTCATCAAAGCATTTATAGAACGTAATTTATATAAACTCAAAAACAATTAATATACATTCTTTATCTTTAGTCTTTAATTCAATAACCTTAAATCAAGACCTCATAAAAATAAACTAAACGTTTTCAAGGAGATTTTAATTCGACTTTCAATGTGAAAACAAAAACTTGAAGGGGAGAGACAAATTTGAATATGATATAGATTAAATCCTTTGATTTTATAAATATTCATAGCAAAAATATGCATTTCGTAATGGATCTGTTAGTTCACATGTATCTTAATTAGTGTTAAATCATATCTAATGATTAGTGATGAAACATAGTAGTGATAAAAACTTGTTAGATATTTATATAAGTTCTTTTACATTTCAATTTGAATCTTTCGTCAATATATAAATTTAAAACATTTGATTAGATTCTACTTAGTGATATATATTCTTAACATATCATAACAATGAGATCCTAATTATCATGTATGTTTTGATATGTTTGGATTCATTTGTTTTGAAAAGATGGATGTTTCACCATTTTGGGTTTTTTGTTTGTATAA